TGACACAAAAAATACATTTTTTCTAAAATAATGATTACCAAACGGTACCTTAGGTTGTGATGGGTGTACACAATGGTTTACATCCCCTCACATGGAGGGGGTCCGCACACAATAAAATATGTATGGGCTCTCCTCCACGTGAGAGAGGTGTAAACCATTGTATACATCATTGAGTGTACACATAGCTTAATTCTTAATTCTTTGCTATTTGTCGATGAAATGATACTGTGGCACCTTTTTTTTTTAAAAAAAAACCCAGAAAAAGCCACATTTTTTTTAACAAAATACAACGAGAACCAGCTAGGCTTGATTCCAATTAAATAATACTGTTGGTCAATCATTCCTTCGCGGAAAATCTGCTGAAGTCCCTGTTTTCATCAAACTTTCTTCAGTTTTATAATCTGTAAGTTTTTCTTCTTTCTTTCTTCTTTTTATATTAGCCGAAAGTTGCTTTCATATTGGATTTATTCAGTTTTTTTCTTGTTTTTTTATATTGATTTTGACATCTGAATTACCGGGAGTTTTTTTCCCTTGTGTGCGGTTTTTCTTGAATATGAATAGTATAAAAATGAAAGATATGCTACTTGTTTATCTGTGTGAATTGGAGTATTTGGGTTATTTGTTAGAAATGAATAGGAACTGAGCTATTCCCACGTTTGTCATTTTTTTTTGCGGTGCTTTGTGCCCTTTCTTTTCAGCTGAATAAAGTTTGTCAAAGTTTATCCGCTCAAGTCTGGAAGTGGAGATAAAAAGCAGTGGCTCTAAATTCAAAAGAGAGAAATTCGTACATGTGATTAATTCATTTTGTGATTTGCAGAATCTTTGATGCAATTAATAAGATTTGCGGATCCCAATGAACTATTTGTGAAGTGATTAGATTTGGGCTTGTTATTGTTTTGATGAAATTGCATTTGAAGAGAATAGCATATTGAAAGAAGGGCTAGTTCAGTTTGTTTGGATATTTACATTAGTATAGAGGAGAAAGATGCAAAGAGTGCGTGTTTCATCGTACAAAACTCCAGTTAACAAGCTAGGGGATTCCAAAAAGACATTATCTTCACAATTTAGATCAGTTGCAACCCAGTCGTCTTTGCTAGATCCTTCACTAGAATTAGAGCTATCGAATAGGGGAGAGCAGCTGATTCCAGGCCTTCCTGATGATGTTGCTTTGCAATGCCTCATCCGGGTTCCATTTGATAAACATGCTACCTGCAAGGCTGTCTGCAAGCGTTGGTATTCATTGTTTGGCAGCAAGGAGCATTTTTTCACTCGGAGAAAGGAGCTTGGTTTCCATGATCAGTGGCTTTTTGTCTTTGCACACCACAAATGTACTGGAAACATAGAGTGGAAGGTTCTAGACCTTACCCAGTTCTCTTGGCACACTATTCCGGCTATGCCTTGCAAGGATAAGGTCTGCCCCCATGGATTCAGGTGCGTATCCATCCCTCACGAGGGTGTGCTCTTTGTTTGTGGCGGTGTGGCCCCTGATGTGGACTGCCCCCTCAATTTAGTACTGAAATATGAAGTGTGTAAGAACCGTTGGACTGTGATGACAGAGATGATCACTGCACGGTCATTTTTTGCTAGTGGGATAATTGATGGGATGGTATATGTGGCTGGTGGAAACAGCACTGACATGTTCGAGCTTAACTCAGCTGAAGTCCTCAATCCTAATAAAGGAACCTGGCGTTCAGTTGCAAACATGGGAACAAACATGGCCTCATATGATGCAGCAGTTCTTAATGGGAAGCTCCTTATGACAGAAGGTTGGTTTTGGCCCTTCTATGTTGTACCCAGGGGCCAGATTTATGACCCCATAGCAGATACCTGGGAGAACATGGCTAATGGACTGCGAGAAGGCTGGACTGGTTCGAGCGTTGTGATTTATGAGCATTTGTTTGTGGTTCCAGAGCATGAAAGAACAAAACTGAAGGTTTATGACAATGAAACTGATTCTTGGTGTACTGTTAAAGGACCTCCTTTGCCAGAGCAGATATGCAAGCCATTCTGTGTTGACTGCTGCGATAACAGGATTTATGTGGTAGGTCGAAATCTTCACCTTGCCGTGGGCCATATCTCGAGCCCTTGCCCTAGAGACTCATCTACAAAAAGGTGCAGATTTTCTGTTCAATGGCAAGTGGTGGATGCACCTGAAACCCTCTTTGACTTAACGCCATCAAGTGCAAAGGTTCTATTTGCTTGAACCACTTTGAGTTTGTGATTATGCTTGTAGTTGCTGCTGCTGCCACTGTTATTATATGAGAATGTCAATATATTAGAGAGATAATAGTATGTGAAGCACTTTTCTTTTGGTGTTTAGAATCGTAGAGTGGGAAAAGCTTTTCGTTTTTCAATGACGCGGCTGAGGCTACTGTAAGTGCAAGCTAATGAAAATTGTGGTTGATCTTTACAAAATTACTGCTATAACCAATTAAGATTTTGTTTTTCATCTCTTTGCCAAGACTATCTTTGCTTTCATGTCTTATTTTATATGATGGTGCTAAATGATGGAAAACTGCACTGCATTTTTGAAAACAAAATGTAAAAGTTGATATGGAGTTGCTTATTGTGTCTTGATCAACTAAGATCCGTGAATTTGACAATTGTGAATACACATTTGGGGCATCCCTTGCCTGAGTACAGCACATTTTGTAGAGTTTCATAATGTACTTGCAGATTTTACCATGCAAATCTTAGTTGTTCTGGATACACTGGACAAGGAGCTTTTTTCTTAATCTGGGATTGTTACTTTTTGTCGAAATTAATTAAATTCCATGCTTTCTGCTTATGTGTATTGTTATGAGATGAGACTTATTTCTATTTTTAGTATTTGACTATATAATTTTTACATCGGTATTGTAGAAATGCTATGTTCACTGGAAAGAGGGCTTTCGTGCTCTGAATTTTGCTGTGGATTTAGTTTCCATCAAAATTCTCTATTACATAAGCAGAGTTGATCTCCACATTAGCGGTCAAGTCATTATTTTTTGACTTTTCAAAAGAAAAAACTTTGGACTTGTTAACGTGAGAACGCCACATCAGTAGATGGGCATTATAACTCCTGCCAAGTGCGGACATGAGATAATGGTCAAATGTTTTTTCCAGACACAATTATTGTAATCATGCTTAATTTTGAGCTCTGGTCGCTTGAATGTTTTCTTTGCTAGCAATAAAACGTAGCCACTATCCAACAAGATTGCTTGAGTTGTATTGATATGGATGTTTATTGTTGCACTAAAAGTTAAGGTTTCGAGTTTGAATCATCTTATTATATAGAGAGTCTTGCTGTTTTTTCTTGGTTATTATTTTCAAAATTGTATCCCTGGGCCATCACGTGTTTCAATTATTGGAAGTCATCAACCAGAACTTCAATTGGACACGGCTTGTGACCAAAACCACCAATTAGCAACTAGGACATATTTGGTATGATGGAGTCTATAAAAGAACATGTACATGTGACACTTCATAATTTTGTGCTGTTCAACCTACCAGTCATGACAACTATACTCTTCTTATGACCAACCTTATAAGGTTATATTTAGCCCGTGTTTGGTACACATTAAAATTTTTATTCTCATTTTTCTACTCATTTTCAATCACATTTTTCAATAAAATAATATTTTACATCACATGAATAACTTTTCTTTCTTTTTCAACCACACATTCTCCATCAATCTACTATTCCAGAATACACTCTTTCAAAATAATGTGGCTCAAACACTAATCACACTACGAGCTGTGAGAACATTGGGGAGGAAGATAATTGATTTTATTTTTTTAGGAAGTGATAAAATGAAAGAGAATAATTATCAATTTTCATTTAATAATCCTCAATTTGACTCAGTTTATTATCTTATTCAAATCCATCTATTTACATTTTTGGAAAAGTTAATACTGATTTGTTACCTGTTTTTTAAATGAATTCTACAAGTTTATTATTTTTAATTGTATCTGAAATGCCCAGAAACAAATATAACCAAAGATTAATCACATAAAATTGAAAGAAACAAAGGTAAAAGTGCAAAAATCAAAATGTGAAGACGAGGATTTTCAAAATGGCAACCAAGGTAACAACAAATGTACAAATTTACAAAGATAAAGTCACATAAGACTTAGTTTTAAAATATCAAACCTCCTTCGAGTTACTAGTCATTAAGAACTCTAACAAAAATCGAACCTATACTCTTTGTGAAACCATTAAAGAACAGGAGGTTCTTTACATATAACACCAAGTAACAAAACCAAAATCAGAAAAGGAGATGAAGATTTGAAGTCTCGTATGAGGATTTCGACAAGAGTGAAGAACACGAGAACACGAAGCAGTTATTTCTCTCAAACGCCTCAAAAGCCAGAACAATGCCCAAGTGGATGGACCAAGGCCAGATGAAACATTTTAATCCATGGAAGAATCCAGAAGCTAGGTCCAACAACCACAAGTCAGTCATGTGTCACTGTCCAGTTAAAACCATCCACTAAAGAAGTCGCATCCTAGAAGGAAAATTCTATTCGTAAAATCGAAGTTGACAATCTCGGTTGATAACCTCTCACATGTGTGGCGGGGTCGGCATGTTTAAAAAATTCAAAAAAAAAAAAAGGGACCCCTCCATGTGAGTGGTTGTCAACCACGGTTGTACAACTAGCATGACTCACCCTAGAAATGAGTTTTTAGTTCAACACAACGTTATTATTAAATTATTATAGTTATGATTTTTCCCTTATTCTTTAGTGTTGAGTTTTTGCCCTATTAGGCTGGGCGTTTGAATTTCTTCAAAAATATTAACATACACCCTAGTAATATTTATTCGAACTCCAACCCAAATTAGCCAGACTCTTCCAATTCTTTAATATAATATTTATTTAAACTCCAGCTAATGGAACAACTCTCATGATCAATGAGACGCATAATAATTAAATTTGTAACTATGAGCTCATAATCAACAGGACATGATCATTTGCAAGCCATATAGATGCATATAAAAACACGAGCACACTATTACGCCTCCTCTTAACAAGACTCCAGATCACTACATGGTAGTTAGCTGGCAAGTTAATCAGGCTCACACTCCATGTTATCCTCCCACTTGGCCGAGGTGCCCACATAAGACATAGTCAAGGCGATGAACCAATTTCATTGAGATGCCATGTAGATGCCAACTTCCATGACCCAAGCAAGGTGACACACCAACTGCAGGAAGAAATCCGAGGCACATAGCTTCTTCATCAAGCATCTCACTCCTCACCTCTTCCAAGAGATCTTTTGTATAAGATCTTTCTACTACGATTCATTGATGTGATATCTCTACAATAGACACCTAAAGGTCAAATCACCAGTCTATGGATCGGAGGTCAGAACTAGGCAATAGGGTGGTTGCTTTTCAAAAACATTGAATGCAACTCGGACTATGATGGATGGATTGACGTCTAAAAGATGACACCTCAACCATCAAGTTGAGACCATGTGTATTTCCATCCAACATTCAGTTTTTCATCTCTTTCATTCTAAAAGCTCGTACTTAGTGCCATTTGAAGGTATGCAACTTTATACACTCAAAACTATAAACTTGCTCTCATTGTTCTCTCTATACACTCTCCTACATCGAATCCCTAAACGCTTAGTGGCTCACGTCTTTAGAACGTCACATACTCAAACACTTGTACATTAACTGACTTGATAATCAGAGTGTTCACGTTCGTCTCACCCACCATCGGAGAAGGTCACGTACGATTTATGGTTTATCCAAGTATATAGGATTATAGGCTTATGTAGAAGTAAGAAGAGTCAAGATCTATTGGTCACGTCTTTTACAAAAAACAAGGTTAACAGATTATATATATATCTTCTATATATTAAAAGTGGTTATGTAACGTAATTTCTTGTTTTAAACAGGCAGTTGCACCTTCTTTCAGTGTTTTTATCATAACTTTGTATTCTGATATCCGATTAAGGCGATTCAAAATGCGTTGAAAAGTTAACTCATCTAGCTACAACTTTGATTTAGACATCATTCTCCAATTAGATCACTTCCTATGCCAAAAATAGGTCTCAATATGAGACTAAAACACCGGAGCATAACTTTTCGGTTGGAAATTGATTTGTGATCATCTTTTGACTAAATTTGATTCCCTTGACATCTTCCTTTATCCAATTGAC